GCGGGGGGGGGGTTGGATTCAGATTTTTTAAGTCTTCTAAGCCCTGGGGACCAGAAACCTTACCATCCGAGCAGATTCTCAGTCTCTCATCTCAGACCTGCTGAAGAGAATCTGCATTTAACAAGATCCCAAGACCATGTGTACCTTAAAGTTTGAGAAGCACTGAAATAACTGAGAGACTAACATGTTATTGTGCGTCAGAATCACCTGGGGGAGGTAGCAAAACCTACTGGTGCCTGGAATACTGCTTGGTGGTCCTGACTGAGTGGGTCTGTGTGGGGCCCAGGAATCCACGTGGTGGAGAAATTCCAAGTGATTAGGGGCTTGTGGTCCATGGGCCACTGAAAAGTGCTGTTCTAACTTAGTACCCCCTTTCACTGTATCTGTTTACACACTTCTAGTGACAGGGAGCTCACCACCTTGCAGGTAGCTAAGCACACTATGGGACAGCTGTCAGTGAGATGCTCTTCTCGTGTAATCCGAGCAAGCCCGAGTCTTGCCAACCTGAGGGCACAAAGAGGGTGACTTTAAAGTTTAATGCCTCCAGGTGTACCTGGAGGACTTCGGCCATGCTTTCTACTCAGTGTTCCTAGGTTTTCCTGGATGTCCTCTGGGATCATTTTCCTCTGGTCTGTTTTTTGCAAGAAGGTACAACACTCTCTTCAGCAGCCCTTATTTTCTACAACAATGGTGGGGCCTTGTTCCTCTCTCCTCTTTCAGCCAAAAAAGCCCCCCAGAATTCCCAGGCAAGGAGAATTTATGCGGCATCACCTACTTTGCAATCAGCTAGACTCTGAGTCCCAGTTTGGCTCAGTTCTGGGGGGTCACTTTAGAAGTCAGGATTCTTTCTGAAGGTGTCAAAAACCCACTTCAAACTGGTTCAAGTAAAAAGGAAAATCTGACAGAATTGAAAAGTCCACAGGAGCAGTGGCTTCAGGTATGGCTGGATCCAGATGCTCAAAACAGGAATCCGTTTTTTCCTTTGGCTCTTGCTTCTATTTGCCACTATGATGGTTTCATGCTTAGGCAGGCCCTTCTATGCAGTAGCAAAAATGGATCCCAGATGCCACTGCCCATATCCCATTGGCTTTGGAACTTAATCAGGGAAAAGAGTGTCTGTTTCCCACTTATCCCAACAAAAGTCCCGGGGCTGATTCTCATTGGCCCAGGTTGGATCACATCACTACCTCTGGCCCAGTCACTGTGATTCCAACGTGAGTCATGCACTGGGAAGAATCAGCTCTACCCAAACCATAGCGACAGAGTTATGGAGTGACTCCCAGGCAGATAGCAGAAGGGGCAGTGATGCTGTATGAACAGAAATAATACCCCCACAGTCCCCTTGACCGGCTGCCCTTAATCTGCTCCTAGAGATAACGAGTTGTCTCCTCTCCAGGAAACCTGGGCTGTGGGTGGATCTGTCCTAAGTGTCTCCCTTTTCCTCCACCGGCAGGGCTCCCCTGAAGCTTCTCTGTGACAACATGAAGTACCAGATCCTTTCCAGAGCCTTCTATGGATGTGCGTATTGACCTTATTTGCCGTCGTGATCTCCAGGGAACATTCATTGAGTGCCTGCTACGTGCCATCAGTATCAGGGGGAGGAGCCTGGCTCTGGAGTTTGAACCCTTGCTCCTCTATTTCCTAGATTCCTGGTTTTAGTGAAATGATATTAGCTTCTTTGAGCCTCAGTTTCCTCATCCATAAATTGGAGATAAATATACTTTGATCCTAAGAGAGGGCAGTGAACAATGGGGTTCCTTGGTGGCAGGGGGTTGGCTTAATCACCATTGCATTCCCAGTGCCCACCTTAGAGTGTTTGTCTTCAAGACTGAATGAGAAGCATGCGTAAAGCCCCTGCAGCTGGTGTTTCACATCACAGGTGCTCATAACTGCCTGTTCCCTTTCCCTGTGGGCAGAAGCAGAAGAGAAAGGTGGCCTGATCCCTTCCCAAGAGCTTAAAAATGAAATGCATAATATAAGTACTCTGGTTATTTCATTTTAACCGATGAGGAAACTAAGGTACAGAAAGGGGGAAATGACTTGCCCAAGGTCACACAGCTAATAAGAAACAGACTCAAACCCAGGCCTGCCTGACGCAAAGGCTATGTTTTTTCCCCACTCTATATCAGTTCTTAGCAGGGTTTAGTTCCCCAGCCTCTCAGCCTAGGTGTGTGTATTTCAGGATTCTAGAAAAGTGTTAACACATGCTGCATGGGCCTGTGAAATAGCAGTGCAGGTCCTATCCCTGAGTGCCTGAAGAGGCAGGGAGAGTGTGAGCTCTCCAAGATCAAGGCTTTTGCCTGTTCTAGGCTGACCCGTCCCCAGTGCCTAATGCAGGGCCTGACATGGAGCAGGCATTGGGTGAGTATGGAACCCAAATGGAAGAGCTTCCTGGAGGAAGGAGAGAGGGTTTAAAGGGATCTTGAATGATGTCATCACATGATGTGGCTCATCCCTGATGGCAGCTGAGAGCCCAGGTTCTGGAAGTAGGCAGTTTGGGTTCAAATCCCAACTCCACGCTTCCTAGCTATGTAACCTGAGCAGGTGATGAAAGCAGTCTGTGCTTCAGTTTCTCCATCTATGAGATGGGGATAGAGCACCCGCTGTGGCGAGAATTAAATGAGTGAAGTCAGGTAAGCTCAGGTGGCAGCTCCCTGGCACGTACGAAGTATGTGCTGTGTAAATGTTAGCCATCATCACCATCATCACCATCATCATCATCATCCCCATCATCATCATCACCATCATCATCATCATCCCCATCATCATCATCACCATCATCATCATCATCCCCATCATCATCATCACCATCATCATCATCATCCCCATCATCATCATCACCATCATCATCATCATCCCCATCATCATCATCACCATCATCATCATCATCCCCATCATCATCATCACCATCATCATCATCATCCCCATCATCATCATCACCATCATCATCATCATCCCCATCATCATCATCACCATCATCATCATCATCCCCATCATCATCATCACCATCATCATCATCATCCCCATCATCATCATCACCATCATCATCATCATCATCATCATCATCATCATCACCATCATCATCACTGTTGGTAGGGGAGAGTCCTCAGGCTCAGGAAGGTCCAGGGTCCTCTCTGGGAGTTAAGGATGAGATGGTGGGGGAGAGCCAGAAGAAAGGTATGCAGTCAAAACCAGCACAAGCCAGTATTTGCCGGGTGCCTCGTGTTCCAGGCACCGTGCCCTCCAGGTGCCCAGGATGGGTTGGGTGAAGGATGGCAGGCATTCTGTTTAGAGCGCAGGGCCATTTTTGAAAGCAAACCAGTGCCCTCACTGTCCTCTTGGTTATGACTCGCCGGGACCTTGTTTATCCAGCTCCACGTTTTCTCCCGCTCTCTTTCTCTCTGTGTGTGGATTGGAGGCACCCAGGGGCACAGGGAGCCCACCCCTACTCCGCTTCCAGCCTGTGAGTTAAACACCTTGGATTCTAGCAGAGGTGGTATCACCCTGACCAAGGTTGGGAAAGGTGACAGGACCTCCCCACAGTCACAGAGCAATTAAGCAGTCAAGCCCACAAGTGACTCCCCGCTCTGAGCTCCTTACCTGGAAAAGGGGGTGATGAGAACTCGTTGGGTCATGAGGGTTCAGGAAGGTTATGGGCAGCATCTTGGAGACTCTGAGACAAGGCAAGGAGGGTTGGATGGTGGATGATGACCCTTTCTCTATCTCCCCGCACAGGGCTTGCCTACTGCAGACACCTGTCCACCGTGAGGACCCACCTGTCAGCCCTGGTCAATCACATGATTGTGTCTCCAGACTTGCCCTGCGATGCTGGACACGGGCTGACGGCCGGGATCTGGGAGCAGTACCTTCAGGACAGCACAGTAAGGCTTGGCCTGGCTCGGCCTGTGGTGAGACTGCAGCGGGTGGGGGGCATCTTGCAATCTAAGGAATAGACTTCTCTGCTTGTGGGGACTCAAGGATGTTGTGATATCTTTGGGTTCTGCATACTAAAACTCAAGAGTTCCAAGACCCATAGCCTGCTTCTGCCCATTGGGGTGAGGACCAAGGAGGATGGAAAATACACATGCTCTCCTGGAAGGAGTAAGAATCCATCAGTGGCCAAGCATTTATTAAGCACCAGCTGTATGCTCAGCCATGCATGAGGTGCTATGAGTCCCCAGTAAGCAGGAATTCATAATGCAGTCGAATCTACTTAGAATGATGAGAGGAGCTAAGTTAGAGGGAGACTGCTGTTAAAGTCATCCAGGGTGCCCCTAAATCATTAGTGTATACAGAACCAGCTACTAATGTTCACTGCGGATTAATTTGCTTTAAAACAATTTTCTTAGAGCTTAGTTGAGATGAAAAACTCCAAGATAATATTCCCAAATAAGCAAGTATACAAATTTGATTGAAAATTAAGTAGAAATATAAGTTCCTTATACCCTGGCTTTTCCTTTTTTCTTTTTTTAAAATTTTTTTCTTTTAAATATATTTTACTGATTTTTGACAGAGAGGAAGGGAGAGGGATAGAGAGTTAGAAACATTGATGAGAGAGAAACATCGATCAGCTGCCTCCTGCACACCTCTTACTGGGGATGTGCCCGCAGCCAAGGTACATGCCCCTGGCCGGAATTGAACCTGGGACCTTTCAGTCCACAGGCCGACGCTCTATCTACTGAGCCAAACCGGTTAGGGCTTTTCCTTTTTTCTTTAACAAAAATGAGTTCACACTAGACATGATCTGCATCTTGTTTTTTTCCACTAACAGTACACATTGAACATCATTTTGTGTAGGTTCTCATAGATGCACCTTTCTACACTCTGTGTGGTATTCCCATGTCGGGGTGTACTGTCCTCCCGTTGGTGGGCAGTTGAGGGGTTCCCAGGGCTTTGCTCTTTCATGTCACATTGTAGTGGATAATGGGTGCATATGGCTTTGCTCATTCAAGCCAGGGTTCCTAAGGGCTAGGTCAGAAAAGAAGAACTGCTGGATCACAGAGTCTGCCCCTGGCTTTCTGTTGACCAAACAAACCCTTTGCTCTCCCCTGCCCCCCCACCACAGAGTTACGAGGAGCAGGAGCTGCTGCGCCTTATCTACTATGGAGGCATCCAGCCCGAGATCCGCAAGGCTGTGTGGCCCTTCCTGCTGGGCCACTACCAGTTCGGGATGACAGAAACGGAAAGGAAGGAGGTTGGTTACCCTGAAGGGCACTGGGTCTTTGGCAACCGAAGGAGCCAGGTACTGTGAGGCAGGGGGAGCTCTAGTCCCATTTTGGACCAAGGTGGGGCAGGGAGCTGGGGGGAGCCAGGAAGCTCAAGGGCAGCGCTCTCCAATAGAAATACAGCACAAGCCATGGATGTCATTTTTTTAAAAATAAACTTTTATTTTGAGATAATTGTGGGTTCACACCCTTCTTTATTACCTCCCACCTCGCCTTCCTGGCACATAGTGGGTGCTCAGTGAATGTGGGTTGAATGTTATGCCATGAATGTTAGATGGGTGCTTCTAGGGCTCAGGGTCCCAGCACTTCCAGTGACCTTGCATCTGCCCTGCAGGTGGACGAGCAGATTCATGCCTGCTATGCACAGACCATGTCCGAATGGCTGGGCTGTGAGGCAATTGTGCGGCAGAGGGAGCGGGAGTCCCACGCAGCTGCCCTGGCCAAATGCTCATCAGGGGCCAGCCTGGAGGGTCCCCTGCACCGGATGATGCACAGAGACTCCACCATCAGCAACGAGGTGATGGGCGACTCACCGGAGGGAGTGGAGGGTGGGGTGTGAAAGCCAGGATCCTCTCCATCAGGCTGTGGTAGGAATGGTGAGGGCTGGGGGATAGGGGCCTGGGGCCTGGGGACAGAGCCTCACCCCTAGTTTTTGGGTGGAAGGAGACTTTGTAGTTTGACAGACCTAAGTTTGAACTCTAGCCCATTTTCTAGCCCTGGTGCTTCAGGCAAGCACCCATACTTCTGGGCCTCAGTTTCCTCATCTGTCAGAGGGAAATAATCATTTACAGGGGAGGTTTGTGCACAGCTTAAATGAGTAGTGTACACAAAGCACCTACCACAGTGCTGGACTTCATTTATTCAGCAAATGCTTATTGAGTGCCTACCATGTGCCAGGTACTGTCAGGAATGTTATGAGATATCAGGAATACTTCAGTGACCAAGTCGGACATATCTGTTCTCACAGAGTCTCCAGTTTAGGGGCCCAGAGCAGGAACTGAAAAAAAAGTTAATTCTCTTCACTAGTGATGTATCAGCTATCATTTTGCTACACTGATACTGCGTAACAAGCAATCCTCAAAATTCAATGGTTTCCAACAACACACATTTCCTTTTTCTCGTGAGTCTGTGTGTCAGCAAGGCAGTTCTGAACTCTGAAGGTCAACTAAAAGTTTTGTTGACCTTCACAGAGCGCTCTCACCTGCCTGGACTGACTCAGTTGCGCTCCACGTCTTCCCCTTCAGCTGGTTACCTGGTATTTTCTCACGGTGAACGCAGGTTATAAAGAGAGACATACACAAGCTCTTTTTCAGGCTCTGCCCTGGTGACTTTGCTAACATCCCATTGGCCAAAGCAGGTCACATGGCCAAGCCTAGCATCAGAGTAGGCAGGAAGTAGAAGTTATAGGGCAAAAAGCACAAATACAGAGAGGGAGTAAAACAAATCAGGCCATTCATACAAGTTACTCTGTGTAACTAAAATGTTAGCCGGAAGTCTCAGGTAGAGAGCAGTGACAGATGGGGTTTCCTGCTTGCAGGGGTGGGAGGTGGAGGCCCTCTTCCTTCCTTTGTGGCCTCTGAAGAGGCTCCAGGGCACAGACAATGAGACCCCCCACCCCTTTCATTTCATAGATAGGAACCTGAGGCCTTGAGAGGGGACCTCCTGAAGTCAGGAATAGAAATGAAACTAGACTTCTGACTCCCGTCCCAGCAACCCCTGCTGAGCTCAGTGCAGGGGCTCTGAGCCGGGAGGCTGCAGCCTCACCCAGGCTCCCTCCTGCCTCTTTTCTCTCAGTCCTCCCAGAGCTGCAGTTCTGGCCACCAGAACATCCGCCTGCAGAGCGACTCCAGCAGCAGCACACAGGTGACCTTCCCAAGGCCACGCCCCCTACCTGCCCATCACCCTCCCTCCAACCTGGAGCAATAATGGGCTTGGATGCCCATCATCTCCGAGTCACTTACGGTTTATTTGTTTTAGCCGTTATACTAGCATTAAAGACTGAGTTTTTAATTACGTACGTAACCATGATCCATTTTCCCTGGAAAGAAGTTAAACTATTGCAGAGAAAGCTAAATTTGGCTTTGACTTCCATCATACAAACTTATGTGCACATAATTTCAGTAAAATATTAGTTAACAACATAAGGA